GATATCAAATGTACATTTATCCGGACACGCCCAGTTTTTACCATTGTATGTTTCCTAATTGTATCTTTTTTAAGGAAATTATATGTCGTTTTTAAAAAGGTATCATCACTAAGTTTCAGGATTTTCATCCAATATCTAATAATTATAATTTTCCTATGTATCGCCATCGGGTATCTTGCGAATTCTCCGTACATTCCAGCAATGTTTGTAGACTTTCGAACACATAGAACTTTTCTGTACTAACTCAATATTTTTACATTTATTGTATCCAAATAATTCGGCACCATAGTTCAGTATAGATCCTACTAATCGTTCAAATAATTTGCATTTAATAATATTAATTGTTTTAGTTCAAGTTGGTTATAAACGGTAAAAATGTTATGTAAAGCAAACATCGAATGTTGAGAAGTTCGTTTTGAAAAGATTGATTCCAAGATTTTGAATGACTTTACAATTTCTTATTTTTGTTCATTAAAAAAAAAGTCATATGAAGTGTGTCTACCCTGTCCGTAAATCATAATCTTTGTTTTATTGTATTTATACTTTAAGATTCCATGTGTTACAGTATGTACCTATGTCATGTAACATAGATTGTAGCGCTTCCGGTATATGGGCAAATAAAGAAGTGTCGTCTGCAAAAAGGAGCATGGGTAATGTTAAATCATCAAAGTTAATTTTTCCCTCAATAGTATAAGAATATATCTGGTCATCAGATGCCTACTAGATCATCGTAACTTGCTGCATTTTTTGCTTGCATGCCCTTTGATGCTTTGCATCAATGCTTTTATTATTATTTTCTTGTATGGAAAGTTACCTTGCGAGTAATAGGCTAGGTCTACACAGTATTAACATAAACGTACCAGGGTGGTGCATTTTTTAAATTATGGTTTTTACGTACTATATTTGTTTGTCTTTTGAAATATATGTTCTGTTGTTTTACATTCAAAGTTGCGTGACTATCTTTATGACATTTTTTTGTTTTAAGAAACGTACAAATCTTGTCCTAAACTTTCGTAACTGGTGCTCGTGTAAACAATAGTAAACATTTTTATCCAGCTGAAGGATTCGTTTCTTACACTTCCAGTGATTACAAATTTACAATATTTACTATTACGCCAAACAATATGGCCAAGATTTTCTATAAATATTTGAATAACAAGGACTTTAGAAAGTGAATTTGACCTCCATAAGGAAGGAGGCATATCTTTTCATGTTTCTTTGCACATAATTGAAAAAAAAATATGGTGCCTATATTTTTTAATTTGTCTTTTGACGTCTTATCTGTACTATGCAGGCTTCATAACCCCCGATCCCCATATGAAAGAGTCACATTGAAGTTTCCATGACAACCGCCGTATGAACACATCTGCGGATGTTTCTAAATTCAGGAGTTCACGACTTTGAAAGTTGAATATTGCTTAAGCCGGGGCTAGGGGGCGTGGAAAATGACTTGCACTATCCAGTGGGAAGTACCGTCCGTGAACAGGCTAAATCATACCGAGCCTACAACATTTTCAATTTCATTGTTTTGGGCGATCATTGGGAATTCTGTTTCCATCTATTGTGAAACTTGTAATATGATCTGTGAAGGTGAAATACAAAACTTTTAATGTTCAGACAATTACCGAAAATAAAAAAAAAATGTTTATCATTATACAGAACATAAACATCGAAAACACACCAAATCTTATTCCTTACACAATTGATATACCAACATATAAAGTACAAATACACACGGTGTTTTGAATGAGGAAAATAAGAAGATATATAATGACGATTTTGAAAATCATATAGTTTTAATGATGTAATATTCTTAGTTTTCTAAAGGCTGCAAGGCTGCAAATTTGACAAGTTTCGAAGATTCGTTGGAATAAAAAAATTCAACATTTTGAAAAATAAATATCATGATGTTGAAAAAAAAGACCATGGAATGATCTAAGAAAGTATTACTTTAGCCTTTTTGACCGTTTTCATATATGAAATTTTCTTAGTTTACTTTAGGCTGCCAAACTACTAGGCTACAAATTTCACACATTTCAAACATGCGTTAAAAGTTCAACATCTTGAAAAGTAAAGATTACGATCTTTTGAAAAAAATGAGTGGACTGATTTAAGGAATTGCTACTTATGCATTTCTAACAGTTTTAATGTTTGCAATAATCTTATTTTCTTTAGGTTGTTAGGCTACCAACTTCACACATTTCGAAGTGTCAGAATAAAAACTTTTAAGTAAAAATAAAGATCACGATCTTAAATGATCTAATGAAGTGCTACTTGTGCATTTCCAACCGTTTTTATGTTTGTAATATACTTAGGTTTTCTTTAGCCTGTTAGGCTTCCATTTTCAGGCTACTAGGCTGCCAACTTCACGAACATACATGGTTCATACAAAGTAATGAGCCTTCAATCATAAGTCCTACAACATACGATAACCTTTAAAACTTAAAGTATGATTGATAAAACAATCAAAATAATTATACGAAATAAGTAACCACAGAAAACGTTATAAATATGTATGATTTAAAACATAATTTATTATGCGAAGCAGCCGAGTCTAACATGATTTTGAATAAGACGCATGATTTACTGCGGAATGACACGATTTATTTTGCGAATCTTCAATAAAAACACAAGTACATAAAAACATTCACATACACCAGCTTTACACTTAATGGCCAATTTCAAATTTCTGGCTTTGTTGCAAAAAAAAAAATATATATTTATTTACATTTTCTTCGAATATTTTCTTATCTCCGTGTACAAATAATGGATTTTTCAACCGAAATTCAATATCGTGGAACCAGGCTAAAATTAAATCATGCGTAAAGACGTTGTCTCCACCTAAAGCAGGAACACCGTATCGCATTTGGACAAACCGAATTGGTGTAAGAGATGTTGCATTGCACTGTCATAAAACATCTGAATTGTTCAATACAACCATTTGTTGACTTTCAGAAACTAGGAAACAAGTTTGCTTTGAAGAAATTTATCTTTTAAAGTTTTTACTTTTTTTAAGATGTGAATTGGATTGTGCTGTGGGGACATAGTTCTGGTTAACCGCCTTTTTACATAGTAAAGCGAGGTCACACATGCGCTGTTTTATTATGCCCCCCGAAGGGTTAGCATATATTCTCCGCTTTGTCCGTCCGTCTGTCTGTCCGTCCGCTTTTCTTGTCCGGGACATAACTTTGAAACAACAAGAGGTATCAATATGAAACTTTGTAGGTAGATAGATCCAATTGAGTAGATGTGCAGTGCACAAGAACTGTAAATCTGCCTGGCCTTATTTTGGAATTATTGCCCTTTGTTTATTTTTACACTTTGAATTTTAATCCGAGACATAACTCCTAAATTATAAGAGATATCAACATGTCACATTATAAGTAGATATATCTCATTGAATAAAAGTGCAGTGCAAAAACGCGATAACTGTGCCTTGCCTAATTTAGGATTTATTGCCCTTTGTTATTTTCTTTTCACTTTGACCTTTGTCCGAGACATAGCTCTGAAACCATTAGAGGTTTGTAGGTAGATTGATCGCATTAAATAAAAGTGCAGTGCAAAAAGTCCTTAACTTTGCTTTGCTTAATTTTGGTATTATTGCCCTTTGTTTATTTTTCACTTCAAGAGGAATACTTTTCTGTGTCCAAATCCTCCTCGGGGGGCATCACCCAGTTCAACAGGCTCTTGTTTTGGTTAGATTTGGTAACGAGTCTGATGCTTTGAATGTCTTATATACTACGTTTATGTTCAAATTTGATGTTTTATTGTCGGTCATTTGCTGTATCGTTTAATTGGGATATAATTAATTTATGTTTAAGGCATTACGACACACCATTACGAGCAACACTGTCTATATATAAATAAGACACATAGTGTCGGATTCCTGACACATAACGACATTGACTGAAGCGTACCCGTCCTGTCACAGTATAAAACGAGAACTATTAGTACGAACATAATGGAATGTTCGTGTCGTAACGCTTCTTCCCCTTTAAATTTCAACACCTGTGCATTTAATTCGGCTCTTTAAAAGGTATACAGTACACAAATGACTATTCCTTTGCAGCCTTAAACCTCGCTTGATACATTATATTCGAAAGTATTAATATTAAAATAGCATTAAATGTATACTGACAAAGCTTTACAGGTGGAGAAATAATCTGAAGTCACGGGTCTCATTCATAATCATGAAAACGAATATTTTTTAAATTAAATACCAGACAGAACATCCTAATAATAAATGTATAACAAAAGCAGTCACAAAATTAAACAGATACATATGTTGTTTTAAGTGTTATCCAATTCCTAAGATTTCGTGTAGTAAGAAACGTTTCTGTAGCATTCAGTTTTCAGTTTGCTTAATTCATACTTGTCAGAGTCATTATCGATAAGAAAACATAATTTCAAAATAGTCTTCCTGAAAATAGTTCTTTTTTATGTTTAATGACACTTTCTATTTTCTTAAATATTGTTTACAACATAGCAGTGCACTACCATTAGCAAATTCTTTATAATTCGGTACGCTTTAAATCTTTATAACAGCATTTAAATAAAACATGTCTTAACTTAGTATTGTATCAAATAGTATGCGTCTAATAAGAGCATTTGCTGTAATGAATATCTTTTTCAAAACCATATTTATCTAATTTACGAGGAAACTATTAAAATGAATCTGTAATGTAAGCCTGTTAAGTTTTCAAACATAAAGTATCTCGGTTTGGTTAGTATCACAATTTTGTTCTTGCTTAATCTAGTTGTCAAACCCTCGATACTTTTGTAATCATTATTTAAAGTGTATGGTATAATAAAACAAAAAGACTGCTTTAAACCAATAACCTAACTTATCTAATATCAGACGGTTTAAAATTTAAATGGCTTGATGACTATGTAGATGCGTAGATAAAGAACTACAGCTATTGTACAGCGTAAATCATCGATGAAGATTTTACATGTTATTTGTATATAAAGACATGAAACAACTATATTGATTCAAGTACTGTATAAATTTTGGGTAGACTATAGACTCATATTTAGTTGGGATTTTAACAATGGGCCGAAAGCATATCTGGAGAGACACCCCAAAGGCTGATACTCCTCCTCCTGATATTAAAAAGAGACATTGGCTTAAGGCTTTTGTCTTTTTGACATGCGTTACAGGATTTGTTTTACATATGATCGCTTTCGGAAATATATGGATAAATTTCTGCAAGACCGTACCAGAAGACAGATCATATTGCAAGGGGGAGAATGACTCTTCTAGAAATTACACCATTCAAGAGGCAGAAGGTAAAATCTTCTTCTAAAATGTGTCAATCAGTACTGCTCATACAAATATCTGAAGCAATAACTAACAGTATTTAAGCTATAGAACAAATGTTTTGTTTAAATTTAATTGTTGTACATTTGTATTTGTGCTCGCGTGTAAGTGTGCGCGCGTGTGTGTATGTGCGCGCGCCTGAAAAAGATGAAAAGTGTATACTTGCGATTTGATGATGTTCAATATGTATATAAATGATGCTGGACTGAAATATTTTCCATCATTATGAGCATGCTGTCGAAATTTTAGTAGTTCTGAACAAGAAATAAAGCAGGATACCGTTTTTTACTGAAAAGGGAAAGCCAAAGACCGGAGTCATATAGCTTTAACTTACTCAACTAAAGACAACACGTAACTATGTATTTAAAAGATAAAACAATTTTAAAACAGCAGAACTACAGTTTGATTCGCCGCCATCTGAAGGTTCCATGAATGCAGCAAACTAACTTTAAAATCTCAGACAAAAAACACAAACTATTTTTATCATTTTTCTAAATTTGAGGTTTTTTGGATTACCTTTGGGGATTCTATATTTCTCTTTAGGTTAGAATTTATAAAAATCCAGATTCATTTTGGGTACATCTATGATGAAGATAGACTGTGACAATCAATTTGTTAATAAATGGACCGATGATGTAATATGAAAATTGGGTGTTTCTTATTTATTCGATAACAGTCACAATATGTTTATGTCAAAGCAAATTCAACAACTTCACGGGGGACAAGAGGAGGTAAAAACTGAAGCCCCATTTCCATCCACACTCTAATAGGGATTGGGTTACAGATGATTCAGGGTGAAGTATATAGGTAAAATGCATGACCCTTTTTCTGGAAAAGCCCATATGTGAATGAAATGTTGGAAATTAACTGATTCGTTACTTTTGAGTATCTAAAACTACAGTCTGTACAATTATTCGAGCACTTGGTCAGATTTAAAATCGAAATACAAAAACAATAAATAAACGTACGCGTCACGGTGACGAACTCGCACGTCATATTTCACAGGTGTGACATATTCACAGGCAATTGTTTAAAAACAGCGGCACTAACGTGTCGCATTGAAAGTTCCGTGATAATCGCAGTATGAACACACCTGCAGAAACAGTGGGAAAATCAAGACATGGAATATTTAGAGTGCTTGCTGGTATTGCGCCAGACACCAAACCAGTACGGTGACCTTGATATGCAAATGAGCAATCCTTTGTGTACGTCTGCAGAAAGCAGTGTGACCAGCGTTTATCAGCTTCATTCTGGGCCAGGAGCTTTTAATAGTTCATTCAATTTATGTAACCGCGCTCAGCCAAGTGGTTTCCATGGAAACATTTCCCGGGATGCAGCATGGCGATGAGATCACCGTTTGAAACGGGATTTAATATGGCCGCGCCAAAGAACAATAACATGTTACAGTTTTGCTTGAACAATATAAAGAAAAGAGGGAATTATAAAAGCAACAGCAGTCAACGTTAGATAAACTAATTGCGGTGGTTGATAATGTCATTAATACAGACAGGTCAGCACCAGGAGAGGACGACTGTGTTTCGGATTACCAATATGAACCAGTTTCGTCAGACGAAGACGAAAATCCTTCTGATAAAGAACCCGAATCGAAGAAATAAAAATACGAAACATCCTCAAATATATCGGATTCTAAATTTAAAAAAATATTGAGACACAATTAAGGAAACAAGAGGATTCGGTACAAAAGTAAATGAAGTGGTAGGCTCCGCTGTCAACAAGGGTTTAGTGGAACATGTAGACCATAACGCCTACCAAGTTCAAGACCTTTTGAAGAAGTATAATCGGCAAGAAAACTGCATATCATAAAATTTCCAGTCGTAAATGATATATGGCCAAGCAAACAAACCAGCAAATACTTTAAACAAGGAGACATATGGTTTCAAGGTTATTTGACGAAAGAAATTGTTTTTTTAATTCAATTAATTAACAAAACACTAACAATGGATTCAGAGGAGGAAGAAGAGTTGTTTCATCTTTCATTAGATTCATTCCATTTAGTAGCTTATTCGCATCGCGATTTATGATCGCAGCGGCATCAGCTTTTGTTGCCGGCAATATCATCGAGGTACTCAAGCTCATGCAATGGATATGAAAATGTATCATCGCCGGCTCACTTGTTTGGGGATTATAAAGATTTGGAAAGGCGTCTGAAAAATATCGACGAGAATCAGAAGTTTAGGAAATGTTTAGTTGCCACAAATGACAAAACTAGATAGCTTAATACAAGACCCAGGTGGGGGAGCAAAACCTCAACACTCCAGGACAAGGACACATGGTCGCGATATTTTAGGCAAAAAGGCCCTAAACCAACACCGGGTTACACACACTCCCGTGCATGGGCAACCAAAAAGTGCAACAGCACCAGAAAACAAAAACAGCAAAAATATTAAATGTAAGTTGATTAAGCCACTTTCGTCACAGGCCTGAGAATTTCAAAGGTGGAAAGGATTATATGTTTATTAACAAGTGGAAGCAAATTACAAGTATATTTGGAACAGGATATGAATTAGAATTTTATTTCGAACCATGCTTATATTATCACAAAAAAGAAATAAAGTTTTCCGGTAAAGAGGAAAGAAAAATTGATGAGCTACTTGAAAAGTGAAAATTGAAAAAAGTCATAAACTTGATACCGCCTTTTAGGGGTCAAGTTTTATCCAACGTTTTTGTATGAGTTAAATCTGACGGCTAATATCGATTGATTTTAAATCTAAATAAGCGGAATGATCATATTTTTAAAACCATTTTAAAATGGAAACGCTTAAATAAGCTTTTTATTTAGTAAGACGAAACTGTTACTTTGCCAAAATAGACTTTAAAGATGCGTACTTCAGTATTCCTATGAATGAAAATGAAAGAAAATATCTAAGATTTACATGGAAGGGTCAGGTATATGAATTTACAGCTCTTCCAATTGGATTATCTAGCGCTCCTCGCATTTTTGCGAAAGTAATGAAACCTGTTTTCTCTATTGAGACAAAACAGAGCATATATGAAAGCAACATGTTTAGCTATCAAACAAGTATGTAGAAATTACAATAAAATTCATGCACAACTTTTGCAAGATAATAAACTATTATAACATCAGTAAAACGGGTGGTAGAATCCCAAAACTAAACAAACTTGCTCAAGAACTGAGATTATGGTGCGCTAATCGGGATATATAGATTACTGTATTTCATATACCAGGGACAAAAATTGTCAGTCGATATGGAATGTTCAATTAATTCAGGTATTTAAACAAATAATGTTTACGTTTGGTCCGTGTGATATTAATTTATTTATATCTAACAGTAATTACCAGTTACTGCAATATGTTTCATATACGCCTGACGCACGAGCGGTGGCTATAATGCGTTTTCGTTCAATTGGCATAAATATTTTTCACACATGTTGCTACCTTTTAGTGTAACTGGTTTAATGTTACAAAAATTGGAGCAAGACGAAGCGGAAGCGGTATTAGTAGCCCCGCTGTTTTCGACACAGTCATGGTTTACTCGGTTACCACAGATAGCAGCGGATCAACCGAAAATATTACCTCCAGTGTGGGAGAGTTTTATGCATCCCATCCTGACACATCACAGAATGGGCAAAATGACTCTGGATGTTTTTCAGGATCTCTGGGAAAAGGGATTATCAAAACAAGCTACAGAACTCATTCTCTCATCATAGAGAACTGGGAAATAAAAACAATATAGTAGCTACTTATAGGCAGTTTTGTGATTCACGGAACATTGATCCATTTAACCCCACTATACCCTGTGTTATAACTTTCTATACAGAATTATATAAAAACGGATTAGGATACAATGGTAATAATACTGCAAATTCGGCAATAACTAGCACTGTCTTTATAATAAATTATGTACAGAGTGGTAATCACATAAGGATTAAACAGGCATTAAGGGCGTAAATAATGAGAAACCTGCATAACCGCGCTATAATTCCACATGGGATTTTGAACAGTGTAGTGTAAAAACATATTTCTGATACTTTAAGTAACTTTACAACCGAGGTATACAACTTTCCTTAGGCATATAAACTTTAAATTGGGCATGTTATTGGCATAAACAACAGGACAGCGTCTGCAAACTTTGCATAGCATTTATGTCCAAAATATTGATATTAATTGTGTTTGTGTATTTCAAAAGGAACATGAATGAATTAAAGCGGTGTTACCAGGTCCTAGAATTTTTACCAGACCACAGGCAAGACGTGACACCGTATTTGTCAAGCCTTTCATTTCATCTTATATCAAACATTATTCTAGACGTGACAGAAGAATATTCCTGATCTAAGCGAGGAGCCAGAACCAGAGTCATCCACAGAACAAACCATACACGAATTTCATTGTTTGTGAAATGTATATTTAATAAATTGATGTGTTAATCTTATTTCAGGTGTCCATATCTTTTAGTCATTGTGTTCCTATTTTCCCTTAACCTATAACGTGTGTTTGAGAAAAACCCACATGTCGATTGTGAAGTGTGTCCGGTCTAGCAGACCCCGGGTACGTTTCAATATGACAACACAAATCATTCAAAATCAAGATCTATTTCCTAAGTCGAGTTTGGCCCCTCTAGACATTGGATCTTGTTATCTTTATACAATGAATGCATATATGTGTCTGCACAGAGATGTAGATAACATCTATTATCTTTTCTCTTGTTTGCACAATAAACAAATTAAAACGGATTTGATTGACGTGTAATAATCACGCATTCTAACACTATAGGAGATTTCCCTTATATAAACAAAGACGGCCGGAAGCGCATTTTACAGCAGATACACTAGTCTTTCTTATTTACTTCCTCCGTATTAGCAAACCAACACACAAATTCCGATGCTGTTGTCCCTCTGTGCTTCGCTACACAGACCACTGCCATACCAAGTTATTTTAGCAAAATCGTGATAAAATTAAATTCAAGAAAAATTAATATTGTGATATATT